AGCAGCTGGGATGTCTGTTCGAAGCCGTCTTCTATCGAAAACTAATCTCCATGTAATTATGGTGACGCGTAAATCAATCAGCTAACTTTAGGTCTTGCAGCTAACCTCTGAAAAGAGACCTCATTCAATCCAGATAAATCTATCGCAGCTATACGTACTTCCAAATGAATTATTTTGCAAGGAGCTCGCGAAATGGAAGCCTTATTATAGATTGGTTGAGAGTAGAATCAAAAAAGGAACTTCTTTCATTTGAGGGTATTTGCAAGCCATGTGCAAACGGTATCTACGAACACTAGAGCCTCTTGCTTTTTCTTGTTTTGCAGCGTTTAAATAGTTTTTTTCGATTCATCTGACTGATTTTCAACGTTCAGGCAATATCAGTTTTTTCCAGTCGGCTAAGCAGCAGCGACAAAAGACAAGCTGGATTCATAAGAATACCTTTGCCTAAAAACAGTGTCTCGCATACCCAGGAACTCAGACGAAAGCACAAAATACGCTAGATCAGATTGCCGTTTCAACTGTTCTAGGCACTAGAAAGCAAACAGATGGCAGTCTCTGCTGTCCATATTTCAAGCAAGTCACGTCGCCCAACCGAAGGGCAAATGTTTGCCTATTTTCTTGTTTGGAACCATCGAGGCGACAATTTGTTGAAGAGACAAAGAAAACACAAAAATCGGTTATAAGAATGTTCCGACACTACCATTTACCATAATATCCAGATGGCCAACTTCAATACCAAGTAGTCTAACAGTTTTATTTTCAGACCACGCGGTTACTTCGAATCATTTTCATTTCTAACTAGTGGATTAACAAATAGTTTGCTTTGCACTCTACAGGTGCCACGTTCAAACACCGTGCAGGTGTATACTTTTTCTTAATGATCGCTAATTCCCCTGAAGGTGGATACAGATTGCCCAGAAACTGGTTCAGAGATAAATAATTGCATACGAACAGCTAAAAAATTCAAAACTATTTAAAGTATTTAATAAAGTTGTTCATAGTAATTTATGCGTAGTGATTTTTTCCATGAGGGAGGATCAGATATATCTCGAAATGTCTGAGACCTGTTGTCTAATAAAATTGTGATTCAGGGTGTCATCCTTTGATAAAATTTTGTCATGGTAAAAATTGCTATACGCTTATTTTAAGATCTAATAAATAATTGCTTCAATGCGCATGTCAGAGTAGACTTTGAAAGGTGCAACTGCAAGATGTTTTTGTGCAAGCAACGGATTGTCTGTTATGAACTCTGTCTTTGAGCATCAAAACATGCATCAGTTTACTT